CCAGCTGCTTCTCTTCTCAGACATCATGCTGATTGTTGATGAACAGGATGATGGCTCTCTGCTTGTGTCTTTGCCACCCGTGTATGTGCAGGACATTGCTGGCATTGAAATCAATCGGAAATACGGTAAGTTACCCATGACTGTGTAAAAACCATATGGTGCGTTATAGCACAAAAGCATTAAGTTACGAAATGCAATGTCAGATCAAATGAGTTCACAAATATGTTTTTTTTGTGTGGGAAAAGGCCCTTGACACATTAAAAAGGTATAAATATTTGTATAGTAAATTAAAATATTGTATTGCTGATATAAATAACTTTAAATTAATTTTCTTTCAATGTCTTTTTTTTTTGTGGGCATTATTTATTTTTAAAGAAGAAATTCTACATTTGATATTAATGCATATAGTAATGCAATAAATGCAATAAATTCAATTCGATTTCAATTCTCACGAAAGCTTATAATTTCTGAAAGGCCCTTTGCTCTATCGAAATGACCAAAATATTTTTTCTTACATTTGCAGCTTCTGAGTTTGTCCTTCACCTTACCCCGGCAGCCGCTGCCACCTTGCCCCGAAGACATGGTGGATCCTCATCCAGCTCCGGAAATACAAGAACCATAACTCTGAGATCTCCATCCGCCCAGGAGAAATTTGTCTGGCAATCCTTGCTGGAGCAGCGTGTGGCAGCCAACAATGGAAGCAGACTTCAGCACTACGGATCTATGAGGGATATTTCCAATGTGAAAACCAAAATTATTCTCTAAGAAACCTGGACGGTAGCATGTTGACGGGACTGACCACACTGACACGGGAATTACTACAATTGTAAATATTTAATGAAAGTTAATTGGAGAAATCATTTTATTTCAATCAATGCTCTTTTAATAATCCTGTGATTTGCAAGAGCAATCTTGCATAAGTTTAAACACTTGTGTGAATCTTGACCAGCTAAACACTCTAATCTCACCTGTTTACAAAACAATACAAAAGTTCAAAGTTCAAGAGAATTCTCCATACAATTTCATATACAATTAACTTACTCTTCATTTCCTTTACTATTTCAAAGGAATTCAGTTGTGAATTGGCACCAATGTTATCCACAGGTTTCACAAAACCTTTAAATTGTGACTAAAAATGCATGTGTTGGAAGATGTGTTGCTGCACAATTCCTGTCCTATGTGTAATCTTATGATGATGTTTATTTAAAAAAAAAGGGTTCCTTTGTGGGCATCACAATTCAGTGATTTCTGCTTAACCACAATTTATTGGTTGACTTCTTAATGGCCATTGACACTATTTATGTTTAAATTATTATTATCATTTACCTTGTCTTTTTCCCCCCCAAAGAGGAAGGTTATAACTTATATGCATTACTCCCATCATTTGGGGCCACATGTAATCTATATCCTAGACTCAGGACTGATACAGTATTCTATGTCTATACGTTTGTACAAAATGTTTATTTATACTCAATACTCTCCAGCATTTGTTTAATGTATTGTATATAAATATGTAAATATGAATTTAACCTTAAGCTTTATTACAATAACAAAAACTATTGTGAACAAATTATATTATTTTAACATTTTATAATCATGTACATTTTTTGCGTGTAATGCTAAAATCCAAATGTAGTGCATTTAATTTACCCATTTTCAAATACATATCTGTTTACCAATTACCTTCAACCTACCTCACAAAGATTGCAGAAAACACTTTTCCTTCACTAAATGGTTTTAATTTTCTTGAGGTACATATCTATATAATTTTTTTGAATGCTATACATCACGTTTCATTTTAATGAATTGATCTATGAGAAAGTTGGTATGCTTTACTTTAAAATGTATTTACATTTATTGCGTATGAATGGCTTTATATCTGGACAGGCGTATCATCAAGAGTGGCCATTTAGTTGAAATTATCACATGAATATTCTTATATACGTCTGTCTACATGATGAATATTCTTATATTTGTCTGTCTAAATGATGAATATTTTTTATATACTTCTGTCTACATGAATATTCTTATTTATGTCCATCTACATTTTACTTGGCATGTCCATGCTTGATTCCTTTATTTCTGTCTCAACCTTTTCATGAACTAAATTTGTCTGGTCATATTCTATTTTCAACATTTTCTTGTTCAACTTGTTCATTGTCAACTTTTCTTAACATTTTTTTATTCCATCATTGTACACTTTTCCTGTCAACATTTTCTTATTCCATCATGTACACTTTTCCTGTCAACATTTTCTTATTCCATCATTGCACACTTTTCTTGTCCACATTTTCTTGTTCCATCATTGTATGCTTTTCTTGTCCACATTTTCTTATTCCATCATTGTACACTTTTCTTGTCCACATTTTCCTGTACTATTATTTCCTGCTTTGTATTTATCTCCATATATGTGCCTTCTGCCTTGTCTTTCTCACAATTTTCACTTTGTTTACAGTACACTTGTAAACTTAAATATTTTTTAATGATTTTTTTAAAGATTTTAATGATGCTATTTAATTGAATAAATAACATCTATTGAATTTACAAAGAGCAAATTGCATTTGTAACCATTTTTATATTTTTTGAAAAGCATCATGCAATGCTAGTATATCTGAGGGAAAAGATGGACATAATTTCTTCTTCATATTTTGTTGTTTTTTTCCCCACTCAGATATTATTAACTTGTATGTTGCTGCCATGAATCTAAGTCAAATTATTTTTATAACATTTAATGGTTAAGGAAACTTTGCGAATGTTGAAGCAATAAATTTTTATTGAAATTCTATTAAATTTTGTTTATTTTCTTGTTTTTGAAACTGTGAAATTAAAATTATTTATTAGTCTCAACATATTTTTGATGGCAATTCAAAGGAAAAATATATTCATTTTCAGAGAGAAAAGAGCATAATGTGTTGGTGAATATCATTTCCCCTTTCATATCATTTGTGGTTGTCATGGTTTGGCTTAGTAAAAATGGACCACATCACTGTGAATTGAGAGGAAAGAAATTATTCAGAATGACAGATTACATTTTATTTTTAAACTATATTATTTGGTCTGTTAACCCTACTTACTAAGTTACTGGAATCAAGTTTAGAAACAACAAACACATTTTCAAACCAAAATTAAAAAGTAAAAGTAGGTGGCAACCAGGGGCAAGCTACTCTGTTTTAGAAAAATTTGAACGTAGCCCCTGTAGACCACTTAACCACCTAGCACCCTAGGAAATTTTTAAAAAATTGTATGGTGTAAATTTTATAATGATTTATTCATTAATTATTCTGGTGCAATTGCCAAGGAAACCCCCTTTTCTCTACTGGTTTTATTTGAGATGTCTACAGGTTTTAGTTGCTATCCCACAGATGTTTTTGATGTTCTGCGCTTTGCTTCTTTTAGTCTTCAGCCTTTTAAAATCTAAAAGTATGCACATTATGATCTTACTTTAACCCGCTAATACTAACAGCTGGTAATGCACACTAGTCCCAGAAACAGCAGCCATACACTTGTTACATCTGTGCCTCAAGCTTGACTTTTTGCAGGCTAGGGCAGTAAGTGATTCCAGTATCATCCTCTAACTTAAATTCTAAAAATCAAGTTCACACAGGTTTTAGGAATTGAGGGTGAATGTACAAATTGGACATGGGGGATTTGGTTGTAATATTTGAAACCAAATCACACAGATTTTGACAAGACAAGCAAAACTAATAAGAGCAATATAGGATATGTTGCTCACAACTCACAGCATTTTTCACTACAAGATAATGTTTTACACGTTACTATGTAACAGTGTTGTAGCTAGAGTAAGTGCAAGCAAAACTAAAAACAAGCATTTTTTTTTAACTACAAGACAATAATGTTATACATGTTACTAGGTAACGGTGGTTCAGCTAGAAACAGGGTAAAGTTTTTCTACACCCTTCCACGAAAAAAAGATGCCACTCCTTATAAAGAAAAAACTTGCAGCATGGGGAAGACTAGGACTAGGACAGCATTTCCCCTCTACATACATAGGAGTAGGAGCAAGAATGATCAATGAATGCATTGATTGTCAGCCCTTAATATATAGAAGAAGAAGCAAGTTATTCCTTCCCCACCACTAATGAATTTTAGTAGAAAATTATTGACCCATATTGATCTGATATTATTGATATTGCATATCAGTGGCCTAATTTTATATCTTAACTGCATTTTAAAAATTTTCTTTCATTAGGCCTATTTTTGCTGCTACAACAAAATTTTCCATATCTTACTTATGCCAGTACCCTGTGTAAAGTGTTTGTGATAGGCCTAAGGCCTAAGACCCTCACTTTCCTGTCTATCTCTCTGAACTGTTGCTTCCTTACACCCCCACAAGACAACTACGTTCTTCCATTGACAGTAGAACCCTCTCAATCCCAAGAACTAAAACTAAGACCATCGGTGAACGCTCCTTCTGCTTCCATGGGCCCACGTTCTGGAACCAGCTCCCCTTCCATATACGTCATAGTGAAACCTCGTCCATTTTCAAAAAGTCCCTTAAAACTCATCTGTTTAGGTCCGCCTATGACCTGTGATGCACCCTCCTTGCCCTACCTCATTTTCTGTTTCGGGTTGATCCTGAAGTGTCAAAGTGTCCTCGTTTTATAGCCATTTTCATTGTTTCTATAGTATAGTAGTTACTATCCTAGTGTCTCATTTTTATTTACTTAGTTTACATGTTTTAATAATTTAATAATTGTTGTAAAGCGCTTAGACTTAGAGCTTTATGATAAGCGCTATATAAAAATGCCTAAATAAATAAATAAATAAATGGAATATGGAGAAAAAGGGGGGGGGGTAATAAAATTAAATAAATTCAGTGAATCAGTGAATTATATATATATTTTTTTATGATTTCAAATAAAATGTCGGCTTTCAGTTTCACTATAAAAAGTGAGTAAATTTTAAAAAGAAAATTATTTTATTTTAAATCGTTTTATTTCAGGGTTATCATTTATATTTATTAAATTTTTAAAAAGTGTCTCTTCCGGTAGTAATTGTCATTAACAAGAAACGAATAACAACAACAACACATGTTACCATACCTAGGTTTATGTAGATAACCTTGTGAACAACTTAGGTTATCCTGTTCAGTGTTACTCATCTTCATTAAAGTTTATGATATTCATTATGTAAATGTTGGAAAAGTACACCATCACCGTTTTGCAGACTTTGGACTTCGTGTTAAACTTCGCGACTTGATGATAACTATCTACCACTATAACAACGTTTTGAAGCCACCTTTTCAATTCAAGGCTTTTGTTGTTTGACCAAATTTTGATGACTACTTTTGAAGTAGTTTGAAGCATTTTCTTTAATTTACTGGAGACTAAATTGGTTTAAAAAGTAAATAAAACTTAGGCTTAGATCTGCTGAGTCTACTCATGAATTAATTTTAACAATTTATTTGAATTTTTAACTCATTACTCATTACTCAAATGCTATTAATAATTACTAATGTTATGTGGATGGACCTAATAAATTATTTCCTATTGCTACCATTACTGCTATTATTACAGTGTGTTAGTCATTAGTATTACGATCACTATCAATGCTATCATTACTAGCTATGACTGACTCTGTGAATCAAATTTTGAAATTAGTCAACAAGTGTTTGACAACATGGGGCCCAGACCCCACAAGAGGGCAATTTGATTTTTAAATGGGGTGGGGTGGGGAGAATTAGAAAATGAGCTGTCTAGAGTTTGAAAACCAAACGTCTACTAAGATTTAACTTGTATTTTAAAAGGGGAGTCGTTATAGTCTCAATTTTAAATAAGCATCTTTAAAAGTGTTGTAAAAATCTGTTCATTTTAAAATTAGTAAAAAAAAGTCTTAGTTGGCAATAAAATTATAATTAGAGCGAGTGCGTTTTCTTTTTTTTGCGAAAATAAGCTTGTATAAATATTTACTAATAACAAAATTAAGTGTGTATAAAGTATAAATATTAAATGGTAAGTATTTAAAAAAAATGTATTGCTTTTTTCTTGTTAAATATTTTTTGCTATTATTTTTACTTTCATGGGAAATTTCTTTTAGCCTGACAGTTAAAGGAGTAGTTCAAGCAAACAACTTAATTTGTCAGTATTTGGAGAAACATTTTAATTTGGAATTATATCTTCTGTCAATGAGGAATGGTCACATTTTTGTCTTTTATGCAAACAGTGCTTGTCCATTGAATCAATCAAACGAGGTTGTCTTGAAGGCCAAACATAGTGCTCATGTCATTTCAGATTTAAATTACTTTCAAACTTTAAAGAAAAATTTGAAAAAAGAACAACCTTTAAGTCTCTATTAACTGCTCATATTGCAACTGTCAATCATATTCTTGAGATTATTTATGAAATTTCTTTACTCATTGCTAAACTAATGCCAAATATGAGCGTCTCTTCAATCTATTTTGTGAAGAACAAAATGAAGACCTTGTGAGACTTTTATTTCACACTGAATTAAGGTGGCTTTTGAAAGGGAACTACTTGAAAAGATTTATGTAACTGTTTGATACTATTGGCAACTTTGTAAGGGAGAAACCTGAAAGGAAGTACTTGTTAACAGTTGATGGTAAAGCATTTGTGAGTTATTGAGCCAATACATTTGAAAAATTAAATATATTAAAAACTCAACTTCAACGTGCAAATAAAACTCTTGTCGGTTCCAAAGAGAAAAAAAAATTTGAAAAGTTTCATTGGCTAAAAAATGTGAAGTGGCTGATACTGCTGTACTTGTTATTTTCGAAAATTTTGTCAGCTGACTTAGATGAAAGATCTGTGATTTAAAGCAAATTTATTTTCTAACTTGGATAATGCAGACGATGTTTGTGGTTTTATCTTATATTTCTAATACGCAATTTCAAGAAGAATTCGCAGAAATGCAAAATGATGATTCTGTTAAAACTTTATTTAATATAAAAGGAGTGATGGTATGGCTTTGTGAGGAAACAGAAATTGAGAAATGAAATTTCCAAATTCAAAGAAATCTGCAAGACAGCTGTTGTTCCATCTTTATATTTAGCTGAATATGGATTAAGTGCCAAAAGTGATTTGCTAAAAAATAAAAAAAAAGAAATGAGCTGGATATAACACAGTGAGGAGACTTGAGACTAAAGCTATCTAAATTGGAGCCTAAAATAAAATCTCTGTGCAGCAAGTGCAAGTTTCTCACTAATATATTCATCAGAAACTGTATTTGCGATCGCTCATTGTATTTTAAAGTTATAAAAAAATGAAAATAAATGAAAAAAATAATAAATTAAAATATTTTAGAAAAAAAATATTCCCTTTTGTACTTGAATTTTAGTTCTCCATTAAATGTTTTGAAATTTACTTCCTGTGTTTCCTTAAACATTTTTTCATTAAACCTATTAATTCATAAAGCTTTTTTCTTGAGACTGAAGCTATCTAAATTGGAGCCTTACATAAAATCTCTGTGTAGCTAGCATCAAGTGCAAGTTTCTTACTAAATTAGACATCTGACACTGTACTTGCAATCTTTCAATGTATTTTAAAGTTATGAAATAATGAAAATAAATTAAAAAATTAAAATATTTTTTAAAAAAAAACGTTCCCTTTGTACTTGAATTGCAGTTTTCCATTATATTTTAAAAAATTTACTCACTGTGTTTCCTTACAAATTTCTTTGTAAAACCTATATAAATTCCTAATGCCTTTTTCTTTAGACTGAAGCTATCTAAATTGGAGCCTAACATAAAATCTCTGTGCAGCAAGTGCAAGTTTCTACCTAAATTAGAAATCTGGCACTAGATTTTCAATCTCTCGATGTATTTTAAAGTTATGAAATAATGAAAATAAATGAAAAAATAAAAATATTTTAGTTTTAGAAAATATCTTTCTTTTTTAAATTGAATTTCAGTTCTCCATTCTATGTTTTGAAAATTTACTTACTGTGTTTCCTTTAAAAAATTTTCATAAAACGTATTAATTCCAAAAGCCTTGTTTCTTCTTCCTCCTAAAACCTATCATTTAGTTTTCATTTAGTAAAAATTTAATATTTGAATATTAAAAATTATGTATAAATTACTTTAGGGACAGAAGAATATTAGAAAGGCTTAGGTATGGCATGGCACAAAAAAAGTTTGAGAAACACTGGTCTGGACTACCTGTGAAAGTGTGTTTACTGTGAAGGTCTAATCTAAGAGTCAAGAGAGTAAGAGAGAAGACTTTAACTTTAAAATAACTTTGAGACAATGACAAAAACTTTAAACTAAATAACTGTGTTAGGAAATGTGATTTCAAGACAATTAGGTAATTTTTTTTATGATTGATCACGTCTCAATTCTTTTAATATGTAATCTTGTTAACATAAGCCAATAGGTGTAAATCATTTTTTTAAATCAGATTTTAAAATCAAACAGTTGTACTAATATTTAGGCTTATTATTGACTATTTAATTATTACTTATTTGGACCTCCTATCGTAAGAAATGTTACACATACTGCCATACTTATATTAGCAACTAAAATTTCTAACAGAAGAACTGTGAAGTACCAATGAAAACTTTATAGTGGTTCTGAAGTGGTTAGAAAACAAAATATGATAGTTTGTGATTGTCTTAGAGAGAGTGAAATCATCCTTATCCCAAAAAATTTTCCTTCTCTCTTCTCCCTTTTACCACCATTGATTACATTTAATCAATAGACCTGAATACCTTATATAAAATTAAAGTAATATAAATATAAAAAAAATCATAGAATTAATAATTTTTATATTATATGAATATTTTTGAGTGTTGGAAAAAATATTTCCATTATTTGTTATGGGAAAATTCGCTGTGATATAGTGTAATTTGGATGACAAGCTATCTTCCTGAATGAAGTTTTTCATGTAATCTGAGATTTTACTATACTTGAGATGTTTTTATGCTTACGGAAGAAAACATGAGTCATTTTTTTTACATAGTAACACATTTTGAAACATCTTATTTGAAAAATCAGATGTCCGATAAAAGAGTAACCCTTGGATTTGCTGAGAATTTCATGCTGTCTGGATCAGCTGCTGTTATATCAAAAACATCCATAGCACCACTGGAAAGGATCAAATTACTTATGCAGGTATTTCTTAAACAGAAAAATAGCTGCTTAAGATTGTGAGGTTTTTTTATTAGATTATTCAGATTTGGGGTTATTGTTTTGTACTGTAATCCCTAACAGATTTAAAAAGTGATCCAGATTTTTCAAAACTATTTATGAAGCATTAAAATAATATGAAATAATAAATAGTCAGAATTAAAAAATGGGCTTTAAAGTACTAAAACACTAATACTCCCTTTGCATGTCTGACCATAATGCATGTTGGATTGGCTCAGCAAATGGGAAGAACAGGTGGGGACTGGAACATCTTGTTTTAGATAATGGGTAATTTCCAAAAAATAGATTACCGCCATATAGAATGAAATCCAAGCTCGCTTTGTCATTGCAGGCATGTGTACTGCTAGAGATATCAATTAACAAGTTTGCATAAGTGTAGATTGCATTTTCACAGTCAGGTCACTTTTAAATAAATATAGGTTGCAAAGCACATGTTTTGCTCGAGTTAAGGAACTACCTTACACTACATCAGGTCAGGTATTAAACTGGGTATCAAAAAAGAATAGGGAAGATTTCAATTCTTAAAATACAGAAACTTTCTACAGCCACTTCACTATGATCTCAGCCTAACTTTGCTGGTTTGCAAGATAAGTCATAATTGAATACATTTACCCTTATTATGAAAGTTTGAAAGAATAAAATGTTTTAAAAAAAAAAAAATTCCTCTTCTTGTGAAATAAATTATGCACTCTAAAAATGTTTAAATTCAAATAGCATTTTCGTTTAAAATCTTGAGGCTTTGTAAAGAAATAATTTCAATAGTTTGCTATTTAAAATATATTTATCTCAGGAGGTGTAGTGTAATCTGTGTTTAGAAATTTACTTGAAGGGCTCCGACACTTAACTATAGGTTTCAGGATATATTCATGTTGATTTTCACATTCAAATAAAACACATGAAATAATATACATTTTTAAAATTTTGTTTATAGAGCCAGGCCGAGCTGATTAAAGTTGGTCGTCTCAACAAACCCTACAAAGGTATAATCGACTGCTCCATAAAAATATTTCAAACAGAAGGTCTGCTAGCATTTTGGAGGAGCAATTTGGTCAACTGTGTGAGGTACAATTTGTATTGAAATAAAATGTCAATGATGGTATTGATAGAATTTCAATAATCCTGCATGGAATATTTATAATGTTTTGACGCATGTAATTCCCTGCAAGTGACAGTCTGGCCTAGGGTTTCTAGTGGTTGCAAAGAATAGTGATTATATTATAATAAGAATAAGGGGGACATTGACTTAAAGTTAAAAACGTAAATAATAATATTGGTTTTAATTGATTCATTCACAATTCACTTTATGTAATGTGTTGTAAGTTAATTATCCAAGTTACACAGATCTCTCTCTGTATTGATTCAAAATAAATTACATTTTTTTTTTCAATTTTAAAATGCAATTTTACTTTAGTAGAAGGTGCGCGACTAAGAAAAAACAAATTCATAGTAGATGCCGAACATAAAAAAGAAACCCTAGTTTAAGTTTAATATTTATTTTGTTTACGGTAGTTATTAAGTTATTAGAAGCGGACAGAAAAAGAAGAATCAAATTGGCTTAAAATGGACCCTCATTATTTTTACAACCCCTTTTTAGATGATTTTTGTAGTTGGTAACAAAAATTGCTTTTTCACAGTATACAAAATTTAATAAAAATATTGCAGAATGAACAACGAAATGAAATTTAAAAAATTTAATTGCTATTAAAATTATTTTTTTTCCAACCCAGATACTTCCCCACACAGGCCTTGAACTTTGCATTCAAAGATCACATCAAAGGGGCATTCCAGACACACCCTGGTGAATCCCATGGCAGGAAACTTGCTAAAAACATTTTCAGTGGCAGCACAGCCGGAGCCCTGTCAAACTGCTTCGTATATTCCCTGGATTACGCAAGGACCAGACTGGCCATGGATGCCAAGAGTGCCATGAACCCTATGGCGGAGAGGCAGTTCACAGGTGTGATCGACGTGTATAGAAAAACCTGGGCGGCGGATGGGATACGCGGCCTGTATAAAGGCTTCTTTGTCTCCATCATTTCAATCATGGTTTACAGAGGGTTTTATTTCGGTCTCTACGACAGCTTGAAACCTATTTTGCTGGCTGAGAATTCTGGGATAGCCTTGTCATTTGTTCTTAGTTACTCAGTGACTGTCTCCTCAAATCTGATGGCCTACCCGCTGGACACAATTCGTAGGCGGATGATGTTCAGATCCGGTGAAAAAGTTCAGTATCGAGGATCCATTGACTGTGGATTGCAGATTATAAGAAATGAAGGTGCCATGTCTTTGATGAAAGGGGCCGGAGCAAACATTGTCAGAAATCTGGCGGGGGCTGGTGTGTTGGTGGGCTTCGATAAATTTAAAGATTTGTATCTGAGGTGGCAGTATATGAAATTATGAACTTGTGACATTATGGCTTAAAAATACTTGAAAAAATTTTTTTTCTATCTTTAAAAAAAAGGGAAATCAAAACAAAATATATGCAGAATACATTGGTTTTATTATTAGAAATGTTTTTTGTTTTTTTTATTGTTACTGATTATTTTAAATTTTCCTATGATCTTTAACTTACTTTTATAAGTACTTTTATATAGTGTTTATTGTGAAACTAAATAAGAATAGGGACTCACCACAGCTTACAAATGATTTGCCACTTGTTGACCCAGAGCCCTGTTAAGTAGGCGCCCCTGGAGGTGGTTTGGGGTGAAACCTAAGTCATTAAGAGTACAGCCCAGCAGATTAGGCGAGTTTCTGATCTTCTGACCTGGACTGTAAAGAGCAACAAACTCTGGCCTTAACTATGAATTTATATGACAAAGAAGAGTAGTCTTTAAAGCAATCATGATACATTTTATTGTTGGATGACATCAATAGAAAACATGATCTCAGCCTGTTAGTCTAAGTTTTTAAAAAAGCCAGTCATTTATTTAAGGACTATTATTAGCCAAAGACTGCTAAGAGATGCCCACAGAACACAATGAGTAACACAATTAATAAAACAATCAATCAATGTTGACTCAATAACAAACTTTGCGCAGCCAATGGTAGCAATGTTCGTATTAAGCAGCATTGATCTGATTCTGATAATTGAACTGCTTCAACCTACTATAACTGGCTGATGAGTGAAGATTTCAATTATGAGTGAATGAATTTTATATTAAAAATAAAAAATAATTAACTCCTGAGGATTTAAATTTAAGACATGGGCAGACATTTTGCCTACAACTTCAATGTTGTGGAGTGGTTGACAATGTTATAGTATAGTTGTATATGACCTGTATTTACATCACTTTGTTATATACGAACTGTTACACCCTCCCCCTCCCGGGAGGGGGGTGGGGTGATTTTAAATTTCAGTAGAATATATCTAGTAATTATTTCCCTTTGGTGAAAAGTTTGATAATGTAAGCGTTTTTTTTTTTTTTTCGTTTTTTTGTAACGACTAATGATAAATTAGGGAGCGCATAGCTCTAATGATCCTGTGAGGGGTCCAAAAAAGCAGGGTTTCTTTCAGCTATATCTTCGCGGGGGCAATAGACTCTCAGACTTTGCCAATTTCTGTGCCAATAGACTATCAGACTTTGCCAACACCTGTGCCAGTAGGCTCTCAGAATTTGCCAACACCTGTGCCAATAGACTCTCAGACTTTGTCAACTTCTGTGCCACTAGACTCTCAAACTTTGTCAACACCTGTGCCAGTTGGCAATCGACTTTCATTTTCAATGTGTTGTAATTCTTGAATTTGAATGTATTCTACTTTAAATGATTTAAATTAATTTTAGGTTTAATTTGTTATTTCCCTCGTCTGTAAATCAAATCTGTTAATTGTTTGGGTCATAACACCCTGCCCCCCCCAATAAAAATAAATTATTTAAACATAAAAGAATAAGCTAGGCTGACCTGAACACCAAAGAAACGAGGCGATTTAAATAAGTTAGGATTCTTAAAAATGATAGTGATTTTCTATTATTTTACAGAAATCAAACAAATTTTAATGCGCGAAAAATTAAATTTATACGCTTTTATTTTAATTAATGTTTAAGTATTATTATAATGAATTACAAATACATTTAAAATAACCATAAAGGAACTATTTTAAGCATTTTATTCGAGTTTGAAAAGTTATGAAAACACAATTTTTTTTTTTTTTAAATTGATATATAAGAATTAGGTACATCGCAATCACATTTATTGGCTTTTTTTTATGCCCTTGTTAATATAAATGATTTAATAACCGTGCGTGACAAAATGGTAATGTATTTTCCTCTTCTTAAAAGCAAAATTATTAAATATAATTGATTGCTTTTTAAATTGTTAGCAAAACACAAAAAATTTAGGCTTGGTTACTTTTGGTATTTTTGACATTTAATAAGTTTTTATTTTTTTTCATTCCAAAAAATATACTTTCTTTTACATTTATAACGTAATAACAACTTAACCTTTAAGTACACGTCTAACAAGAAAATACCGCTTTAAGGTAAGTTCATGAACTGAACTAAAACAAACGAGTTAAGTGTGGTGGCCTAGATTCTTTAAGGTAAGTTCATGAACTGAACTAAAACAAGCTAAACGTGTTTTGGTTTGTGACTCTCACGGTTTGATCAAGGTATTGTTCATTCAAAGTCAAAGCTTCTGAAACTTAGAGCACTGGAAGGGTCACGTTAGACAAGATGAGTGAGGGGGTGGGAGCGCTTTTTGTTGATGCCAGTTTAAGGGCAGCGTGTACTCCGGTGTTGGGAAAGTGCTTCTCTAGTGGTGTTTGTGCCTTCAGTGGTGACGGCACCTCTAGTTGTGACGGTGCTTTCAGTTGTGATGGCACCTCTACTGACGGCGCCTTCAGTGGTGACTGCACCTCTAGTTGTGACGGTGCTTTCAGTGGTGACGGCACCTCTAGTTGTGACGGCGCCTTCAGTGGTGACAGCACCTTTAGTTTGACGGTGCCTTCAGTGGTGTCGGTGCTTTCAGTGGTGACGGCACCTCTAGTTGTGACGGTGCTTTCAGTGGTGACGGTGCTTTCAGTGGTGATGTCTCTTGTAGTGGGGAATTAAATGTGTCAGTGAGCTATTATACCATTCTTAATGGGTTTTTTATTTTTGGTTGTTTATGGCTGTTGTTGTTGGGGATACGTTACATTTCTTTTAGTTTCCTATTCCTCAAGACTTTGACTTCAAACATCACTGTGTTCAGAACTGTCTTGGCCCACACAGAGTCCAGCAGCCGCATTACATCTGAAGGGCTGAAAGTGATTCATCTCATGTCTTGGCAACTCTTCATCTAAAGGCCTGGATGTACACATGAAATTAGCCCTCTTTGCATTTGAACATATTATAGCAGAGACCTACCCTTAGAGTGTGTTCAAAACAAACGCGTGAGTAGTGCTGTTAAAATTTTAAAAATATGTGTGAGTAGTGCTGTTAAAGTGTTAAAAAATGTGTGAGCACTGCTGTTAAAGTGTTGAAAATGTGTGAGTACTGCTGTTAAATTGTTTTAAAAATGTGTGAGTACGGCTGATAAAGTGTTAAAAATGTGTGAGCGCTGCTGTTAAAGTCTTAAAAAATGTGTGAGCGCTGCTGTTAAAGTGTTGAAAATGTGTGAGTACTGCTGTTAAAGTGCTTAGAGAAATACGTATTTGAGCTGGTAGAATTCCTTACAACTTGTTATTAGGGAAAAAATGCTCTATTTTGTACATTGAACTTGTTAGAAGAACTACCTGAACTCTTTGGAAATGAATGTCAACTTTACTTTATTGATTTTTATCTGCGATCTACAATTTCATCCTGATTTGAAAACGTAAAATTTTTTTTTTTTTAAATATATAATTTAATCACGAAGAATTATCTCATCACACCCTCATCGGGGCGGATACAAATTTGACAAAAAGATGAGGGTTTGAGTTCAGTCCTGTCGCTCCAAGCCTTTTTAAGACTACCTTTAAAAAACAATTAAACACTTAAGATCAATTTAACAAAATAAAAATAATTTTAATGCACATTTAAGCTGTCACATTAAGTTTTTATTTTACTCGTATAAATAGACTATTAATGTTTTTTAACGTAACTTCCGGTCCCAGGAAAAAAAAGTCGAGATCTGTACAGTCGTTTTGAATGGCGCAGAGTCCAAAATAAATGACTTAAAAATGCAAATAACATGTCTCTGTTAGAAATATAAGTAGTATTAAAATGCATGAGACTATTTAGTTGAAATAGGTTAAGTTTTTTTTCGGATCGAAGTAATATGCTACAGTTTTGCTTCAATGATTGACCAGTATCCGGCATATTTACGCATGAGCATATCATACCTGCCTGAGCCTGCCTAGTAGTCACACTAGCCTCTAGTCTAGGCCCATGCCCATGGCGGCATGCAGATGCAATATGATTTAATATAGTGGCGTTTCAGATTACATCCGATTTCCATGACCAGTCCACAATCAAAATGGAATGAAGAGTGTCACGGTTGACAAGCTTGAGGTAGTTAATTTTGCTCAATCAAGTCCATTTATAATCATTGCTGAAGTATAATAATAATATGGCCGGCACTACGTACACCGCGGCGGTGTACCTAGCGAAACTATTGACTTTGGCCTGCGTACACCGCGGCAGTGTACCTAGCTAAATCATGGTCTGTGGCCTGCGTACACCGCAGCGATTTTAAGTAGCAAAACTATGGTCTTTGGGAGTCTTTAACTTTTTGGCCTAACCGGTACTTGTAGATTTAATGTTATACTCGTGTTAAAACTGAAAACTATTTATTTAAAAATCGTTTAGTACTATGGGAGGAGGATATTGATTAAGTTCCACGCTTATGTGGCAAAGTACTTGTAGAGCATTTCTTATTATTTTTTTTGGAAGGTGTAATGTTAAACCATGATTTATTTTTGAAGGTAACCACTTTATTCTCCCCCCCCCCCTTCCCTCCCCAATATATTGAAATACAAATATATTTATTTATTGTAAGTTTTATCATATGATTGTGAATCTTAATAGGCATAAAAAGGGTAGCTAATTTGTTTGGGGGGGAGGGGGGGGGATTATAAATATAACATTGTATGTGATCCCTCGGGGCGTGGTGCAAAAATGAATGAGAAAGCCAGTGAATCTATTTTGTTAGCACCAAGATATAATTACGACACAAATACTCTACGGGAAAAGAATCACATGGTCATACATTGATCATGAAGTCGTGAAGTTAAAGTTGTCCGAGGCATTGTCATTGTGATACCAAGCATGTGTCAACACAAAAGAATAGTATGCTGATAAATTCGAAACACTGCAGTGATTTTTAAAGTCTTTTAACAATAATTAAATATCATTGATTTAAATTTTACATTGGCATTACACGTTAGTAAAAAATGCCGGCGGAAGGGGGGGGGGGGGGATGCAAAAGGTAAGTTTGTTGTGCGGACGTCCTTTGGGGACAACCCTTATCCAGAGCCGGGGGTTGTGGAGGCCCTTTTTTTGGTT